GGATATATTCTAAGAATATACCATATGGTATATTCGATCGACAATATTCTTAGAATATTCAAGGAAGAATAATCCATTTATAGACATTCTATGCACATTCTTTCGGGAATAATCCTGCCATATTCATTCAAGCATATTCTATGAATATTCTAAAGGCATGTATATATTCCAAGAATATTCTATGAATATTTGGAATATATACGTTCGTTTTATGATATACAGGGAATATTCCATGAATATCTAGTGCTGTGTGGAATACCTGTACCTGGATTAGGTAAATTGTCAATAACATCCGTTGACCTTTTTCTACCTGTCGTCATGCTGTTTGCTATTCTTGAACTCCTCAGAATGGAATTCCATATTCGATTGATGTTCACAGCTTCTTCTTTTCTGTTGAAATTATTTCTGTGTTTGTGGATTTCTATTGCCTCCCGTACCAGTCGGATATGGTATCCCTGGTCGGGGGCAATGAGTTTCGTGTTTTCGAACAGAATCCTGTGGTTTCCTTCATTGAGTGCGTGTTCTGCTAAAGACAAAAGAGACCCACTATCAGCAACAGAGGTTTATCGCATACCGTGCACTTGTGCGAAGGTATACATCGAAATCACCAAAAGATCCATGAGAACAAGGTTGAAGGAACATGAAAGAAACTGCAGATCAGGTCAAACGGACAAGTCGGCTTGAAGAATTACTCTCAAAAGTCTGAGTGTCATTTCAGTTAGAATTGTTTGAAATATTTTGTGAGGCATGGGATGGAGTTGCTTAATTATTGATGAAAGTCCATGATAACTATTCAAGAAATCGTTTTTGATAGGGTTTCACTGAACAGTTTTCAAAACCACAGAAGTTTTGCATTCTTTAGGTGTATTGATTGTTAATGAGGAAAACTTCATCGCCAAATTCAAGTGATATAAGCAACAATAACTGAGGGAAATGAATGATATGTTCTTATCCTTTGTCCTGAAAGTTTTTGTTTATTCCGATAACATTGTCAATAATAGTCAGACCACAATATTAATTGAACGATGAAGTGTCTAGACCCATGAATTAAAAAACATGCAAATAAAAATGTTTGAAAAAATCAGAAAATTTTTAGTAAGAAGGGATATATTTTTCAAAATAATTCGAATCTATGGATAGTTTCAATTCTCAATTAGTACCAAATAATAAAATGAAATAAATGTTCCTTATAGTAGTAGCTATCTAAAATTGAAGTGAGGTGCAGCTACATAAAAAGGGATTATTAGCTAATATCTGTGGTATACAACATTTTCACTTGCACACAATCATTTATGTGATAGAATATATTAAAGTGGAGTCACGGGACGCCTGCAGATGTGAAACATCAATAAAATTACGGGACCCCTGTGATGATTGTTGGTACTGCAGTATTTATATAAAATATGTAGTTAAAATATTCATGAAAAAATTTTAATGTGGCTTTAATATACTAGTAAACTTAAGACTCTTAGCTAGTTATTGCGATATGTCACTAAATATCTTAAATTATAATCATCAATAATGAATGTTCAATCATCAATAGGAAATTAATTAGTTAATAAATATTTTGATATTCGTGCGCTACTGGCTATCAGCTGATTTTGAAATACAATTCATCCTTCAAGCAAGTGTTTTAGTGCATTATTTCTCATACGAATGAAATGAAAATTAATCAAAAATTAATTAAAAGAAAGTGTATGCTATGAAAATTGTGTAAATTTCAATTAATTATTTTTAAAAATCATTTAGTAAAACACAGGTTTTGTATACTGTACTGACCACAACTGTACACTATAGGTATCTGAGCCTAGTGTGGCGAAAGAGATAGCGTAACGCCAAACCAGTGGGATGAATATCGCACAGTCGCTTGCGCAGTGACTCGTCGCCACGGTATGTGTTTCACATGAAAAATCATAGATGAGATGAGGAAAAAATTATCATGTCATATTAATTTTACTGAATCCTATCCTAATGGAAGATGTTTATTGATTCTAATAACAAAGCTAGCTAGTTTTGTGCAGTATTTTCTTTGAACTTGTTGAAAACAAGTAACTGATCATTTTTCGAAGTTTTCGCATTCCCAAAATTCCAAAAGACTTCATGAAATGATAATGGATAACCAGACAATAGATATAGTTTGGAAAATATTACATAACAACTCAAGACAAAAAATAATAACATACCTACTATTTCGAAGCTTAGATAATCCAATCCAGGTTTTGTCAAGTAGTCAAGTAATCCACTAACAAATATAAATACTCCATACAATTTGAAAAAATACGTAGCTACCTCATTGAATACCAATTCAGGAATGTTATGAGAAATGAGTTGAGAATTTCTGATAAAAAATATTTTGTTCGATATTTCACAAACTATTTTGATCATCGAAAATTTACAGAACACCTGTTTTCTTTTTGAGTTATGACAAAAGGTATTTGATATTTTGTATGCATTTGTAATACGACTAGCAATAGGAAAAATTACTCGAAAACGTTTTTCGATCTATAAAGAAAGTTATTGTGATTTGATAGTTATGGTTAACTTTGAACAAAATTTCGTCAACGGGAAAAAGTTGCAGTTCAAAACTGAGAATACTAAAAAACTTATAGGACCTTTCTTGTTGTCCGTGAGAAGAAGAGTGAAATTTAACTTTAATCGTGGTCGTTTAGAATATGTTGGTTGAAAGTTTATTAATTGGACACTTTGGAAAAATTCAATTGATCCAGGAACTCAAGTTGATCGACCATATACAACGACGTGTGTTCGCTGAATAGGCTCTGGAGCAGTTAGCAACTGACCCTAATTTAAGGCTCATTTTTGGACGACTGGGTACGTAAACAAATGAAATTGTCGAATTTGGTATGACATCAATCCACACGCAATCCAAGAGCGTCCAATACATCCCGAAAAATTCACTGTTTGGTGAGGATTTTGGGCTGACATCGTCGACGGTCCATATTTCTTTGAAAACAACATTGGCCAGGTCATCACTGTCATCAGCTAGCACTACAGGTCAA